GTGCAGTACTGAGTAGATACAGCAGGGGCAGTATTGGACTAATACAAGGCTCCATTGACTCTCATTATAAATTTTTAAACATTAATATTTCAAAAACTATAAGTTGTACAGGCACCAAAAGGCATGCCCATAATTTGGCACAGGAGCTTTACAGATATAAATTACAATGGCAGCTCTAGGACAAAGTATGCAGGAGGAGAAGCATGGCAAAGTGGAGATGACTTGGATGAGAAACGAATCACAATAGTGTGCATTGCATTGGCAATGCACACTGATTATGATCTCATAGAGCTCACGTACTCTTTATTTTCTATTATTATTATCTTTATTTTCTATTATAATTATTATTATTTTTTGGTCAACCACAGCACGGGAACGGCTGCACCGATCACCATGAAGTTAGATGTGTCCGACCTACACTGAGCCAGCCAACGGTTTTACCATAAACCCCACATTTGAGGAGGGGGCTCCATCTGAAAAGGGGGTGGCTGAACATACAAAAATGCTTATACTTCAAAAACTGTTTTTGTTGTTTAGCTCTATCCATCCAGCCCACCAGTGACACCCCCACTCCCCCCCGGCATACGTGTGGGGGTCATATACAGTGTGCTACCACTATACAGTTTCTAGTTTTTATTCATTTAATTAAAAATAATTCACATAAAACAAAATATACAAATTAAATAAAATGAAAGACAGCAGAAGAAGAAAAAAATCTTATATCGGCCCCTATTTTTCAAAAATACTATTAATTTCAAACAGGGCTGTGCAGTATATGTGATAGACCAGAGATTCTTAACTTATGGGCCGCGGCCCAATTGTGGGCCGTGAGCGCCACCTTGAGGGCCTCAAAAGAACCACAGTTTTCAACTTTGGGCCACAGAGGGCCGCGGGACCGCATTGATTTTGAATAAGGTGTAATATAGTTTTTCACCACTAGTAGCAGTAGTGCACCACTCAGATGTTTAACAGTGTTTTTAATACGTAGAAAGAAGCTTAGAAACCTGCCGAGAATGGAAATGTATTTTAAAGAAAAAGTAGAAGCAAAAACGGAGGTAAGCCGTCAAAAAAAAGCCAAAGTTTGTCACTAATATGAATTGCAGCTTCTGTTTTTACCATGCTTTTAAAATATTGATTTTAAAAGTTCAAAACATTGTCAAATACATTTGCAGATACAGCTATGTTTTAATTTGCACGTCATCAAATTAATTTTTAGTACTTTATTTTAAATATTTTTAACGTATTTTAAAGAAACTTTAAACTTGTCAAAAATCTGTTGTTACTGTTATTGTTTGTCACTAATATGAAGCAGCTTCTGTTTCTACCATGCAAAAGTTTAAAAAGGCTTTATTTTCATTTGCAATTTATCAAATTTATTTTGACATTTTTTTATTTGAAACATTGAACATTTTGAATGTATTTATTTTATGTCCACAATTTTATTTATTGAATTGNACCATTATTTGCAAAAAAATTCTTTAAAAGTCAGACAAAATGATTTTCTCAAATTTTTTTTCACATTTTGTCTCTCATAGTTGAGGTCTACCTATGATGTCAACTACAGGCCTCTCTCATCTTTTTAAGTGGGAGAACTTGCACAATTGGTGACTGACTAAATACTTATTTTCCCCACTGTATGATAAATGGTTCACAACACTTTTTTTTCTGAAAATGATCGTCCTGTTTGAAGCGAGTTGCAGCAGCAGGCAGCAGGAAACACGGTAATCTCATGGAAAAAACACAGCAACCCGCCGTCAGTATCAAATTTCTCTCCAGCCGAAAAAAATAAACCTCCCGACCTCCTTTCTGATCGAGGCTCAAAGTTATTTTTCAAGTGACAAAAAATCTACAGGAAGAAGAAAATAAAAGGAGGTGAAATTTAAATGAAGTTTGGCGGCGATGAAAAGACGGCGCGAGTGAGAGAAAGTAATTAGATTTATAATAATTAATGTGTTTAGATTTTATTATTAAGGTGTAGTTTAGTGTTTAGCCTTTAGTTTAGTCAGTTTTAATGTGTTTGAATTAAAACAATGAGACATTTCTATTTCCCCCTGCAGAGGAACTCCTCGAATCCCCCCCCAAACCAACATGTCCGCCTCTTTCTACAAATTAATCACGTCTCAAAGTACCCGACTGCTCGACTTGGAGAATCTGTCGAGTCAGACTGACGGTTGGAACGAGCTCTACCTGTTGGAGTGGCATCAAAGAAGGCGATCTCCTGCTTGAGCACCGCCTGGAAGACGGCTCCCTGCACCGAGGTGTGGATGAGGCTCATGGTGATGTTGTAGATCAGGTCACACACAAACTCTAACACAGCACTGAAAAACACAAACAAGTTCATGCAGGAACAAATATTTATCCTCTTTGTTTAAGATGTGGACTTTTTTACATTTAATAAACTAAAAAGTACATTTTTCATCATTTAAATAAAAGCATAACAAGACATGGGTTTTTATGATGTAAAAACAAGTGTGCGTTGCCATGTAACATGTCATTGCAGCATGGCTTTGCCTGCAGCAGTGGACTTGCAGAATGAAATGTGACCAAGTACAAATGTGTTTTCTATACCAGCCTGTGTTTGTCAAGTCAGCATGTGTTAACCACTAATTAAGGGTAATTGTGTGACAATATGAAGTTTGTAGAGATTTTCTGTTAAAGTTGCTGTTGCTGGGTTTCGAACCCTTGATCTCCCACATGAAAGCCCATGGCACTAACCATGAGACCATTAGAACGAGGCCAGGGTTTGATTTGTATGTATGCAGAAAGTGGCCACATTGCCAATGTAATGGTTGTCTCTAATTTGAACAATATTACAACAATAAAGCTATATTAGGACAATATTATAGTATAACATCAAAATACAATCATATTAGTATTGTAAACCCTGAAGTATTGAAATTAAATATCATTAAACTATGGTGCAGTACTGAGTAGATACAGCAGGGGGCAGTATTGGACCAATACAAGGCTCCAC